ATTATCAAGAACATTACCTCATCAGTCCTCTGTTCATTGCCATAAATACATCAGGTACAACGAGTATATAATGTGGTATCAAGGCCACAAACTCCTTTATTTAATACCCGAAGGAATGTCATTCATTTAACTCCAAATATAACATTGCTATTGATATACCACGTGTAGGATGTACCAAATATTCTGGTAATGATATCACATGTGTTTTCCCCACAAAGTTCTGCTCTGGATATGATGTCTTTACACTAAGGTGTCACTCATATGGCATCAGTGGTTGGAAGTGGAATAGTTTGTTTTTAACATTGCACCTGCCTGCTATAAAAGACTTGCAACTCACCAGTAATGTGGAGTCTTGCCGACAGAGCCTGTCAGTGTTATAATATATGTAGATATACCGGTCTAGACAGTCAATGTTATAACATATGTATATTTACCGGTCTAGAAGTCACTGTTATAATATATGTAGATTTACCGGTCTAGAAGTCAATGTTATAATATATGTAGATTTACCGGTCTAGACAGTCAATGTTATAATATATGTATATTTACCGGTCTAGATATTCAATGTTATAATATATGTAGGTATACCTGTCTAGAAGTCATTGTTATAATATATGTAGATTTACCTGTCTAGACAGTCAATGTTATAATATATGTATATTTACCGGTCTAGATATTCAATGTTATAATATATGTAGATATACCTGTCTAGAAGTCATTGTTATAATATATGTAGATTTACCTGTCTAGAAGTCATAGTTATTATAATATCATGTAGATATATGTAGATTTACCCTAGAAGTCATAGTAGAAGTCCTGTCTAGTTATAATATATGTAGATTTACCGGTCTAGAAGTCATAGTTATAATATATGTAGATTTACCTGTCTAGAAGTCAATGTTATAATATATGTAGATATACCTGTCTAGAAGTCAATGTTATAATATATGTAGATATACCTGTCTAGAAGTCAATGTTATAACATATGTAGATTTACCGGTCTAGACGTCATAGTTATAATATGTGTAGATTTACCGGTCTAGAAGTCAATGTTATCATATATGTATATTTACCTGTCTAGACAGTCAATGTTGTAATATATGTATATTTACCGGTCTAGACAGTCAATGTTATAATATATGTATATTTACCTGTCTAGACAATCAATGTTGTAATATATGTAGATTTACCTGTCTAGACAGTCAATGTTATAATATATGTAGATATACCTGTCTAGACAATCAAGGTTATAATATATGTAGATTTACCTGTCTAGACAATCAATGTTATAACATTTGTATATTTACTGGTCTAGAAGTCAATGTTATAATATGTGTAGATTTACCGATCCAGACAATCAATGTTATAACATATATGTAGATTTACCGGTCTAGACAATCAATGTTGTGACGTATATAAATTACAGGAAAGTATCACACATGTTATAACACCCACAGATGAATCGGTATTGGCAAGCAATGTTATAACATGAGTAGATGTACGGAGCTGAACCAGTGCTATAAATTTCATGGATGTACTGGATTAAAAATATTGTTACATGATTTGTAGACGTATCGGTGATATAGTATGTGTTTTATGTATGCACTGTGGCAACTAATGTTATAACATGTAAATGTGTCCTTAGAGAGACGTAATGTTATATCATACATAAAAATACCAGATTATACAACGTTATAACGTATGTCCATATACAGGACTAAACATAGTGTTATACGTGTAGATGTACCGGGCAAGGCAACCAATGTTATAACAGCTATAGAAGTTTCAGACAGGGCACAGATGTTTTAACAAATGTGGATAAGTCCAAACAGGCAACCATTGTTATAAAATATGTACCCGCACCAAACTAGACTTAACAGTGTAATAGGGGAGGGGCTACGTACACAGGAGGGTGTGGAGTGTAGGGTGTAGGGGTGTGTGGTTGTGGTGATGTGAAAGTACACCCGTCACTTATATAAATTCACATTTCCTAATAAAATATCTGTACATATTCTTCATACAGTTTGAATAACGATTGCGTCTCGAATTGTCTTTGGCCGGTTTCAGAAAAATCGATAATGTCACACTCATCCGGGAGCTTTGGTTTTAGACTTGCCAACCTTTTTGTAATAGATTACGGAAATATTTGTATATTTGAACAGTAAATTCCCCCAAGTCTTCTCCTACAAATACCATGATTATTGATTTAGGAATGCATTGTCTGAACATTTTCCGCCCTGGTCGAGAAACACGAGCGTTAAAAACAATAGTCGGGAGAAATATGTGGACGAAATATTTCACTTCTCAACCGGTGTGTCGCCATGACATAATAGCACCACCCAGTTTAACACATTTCACATGTCGATTTGCAACATGACGTGAACATTTCAGTGGCGTAAAGGTGGTTATATCCTGGTCTTAGACTAACGCTTAATTTTGACAGTAACAAATAAACCCATTATTGAAAAGGAGTCCCAGTCAGATGGAATTTACAGAACCTGAGGGAATCTAGACTTGCTTTATTTGGGGCTTTAGCATTGCAGGGAAGGCTAGGCAGTAGGGAAAATAATGTGGTTCAAGGACTGTGAGACAGACTATCCTGGTCTGTGCTCGACGTGTTACTAGCAGCGATTGCAGATTGTGTTTTAAGAAGTTGACAGCAGTTGACCAGTAATATGACGACTGATGGGAATTATCGAGTCATGATCAAACAAACCATGATGTCATGAACAACCCAATCAAGCACGTGACAAATTGTAACCATCATTGAGGCTCTTACGAGAGGCAAGGTGTATTAATCAACGATTACATCATTGAATGCCAATTCAGTAGGCTATTATGAATAGAGATGATTAGCATAATATATGCATTATGTAAATAAGTAAACCTGAAAAGTTTTCACTTTACCTGAAAAGTCAAATGACTGATCTGAACGGGCGGCAATACCTTTGTAAGGCTTACCATAAAATAGCATAATTATGAACATATTATTATAGTTATGATTATGTTGTCTGATTATGATTAATACATGCTTTAGTTTTCTAATCATCAAAGATAAAGTATTATTGTAAGAATAGGTGGATAACCCACATGTATATTTTCATTATCATCATTGTCATAAAGCAAAGACATAATCATTATTACCATATACGCGGTTCAACATACGTTTAAACCATAAACACAAACTGAACACGTTCGTTGTCACATAATGTGGATGCTTGTAGACATAAAAATAATAAATATGGGTTTACATTTGTACTTTTATACAATGAACAGTAGCCTTGTGTATTCATCCTCACGTTCCATTGTCATAGTAACGATCATACAAATAACAATACACGCTCCTGATATATAGGAACGTGAAAGAGAGAGGGAGAGAGAGAGAGAGAGAGAGAGAGCGTGAGAGAGACAGGGAGGGAGAGAGTAAGAGGGAGAGGGAGATAGAGAGGGTGAAGGAGATAGAGAGTGATAGAGTGCAAGAAAGAGGAGGAGAGAGAGGGAGGGGAGAGAAAGAGAGGGAGGGAGGGAGAGCGTGAGAGAGACAGAGGGAGTGAGAGAGTGAGAGGGAGAGGGAGAGGGGGTGAAGGAGATAGAGAGCGATAGAGTGCAAGAAAGAGGGGAGAGAGGGGGAGGGGAGAGAAAGAGAGGGAAGGAGAGAAGAGAGAGGGAGAAGAGTGAGAGAGGGAGAGAGAGAGAGGAGAGAGAGAGAGAGAGAGAGAGAGAGAGAGAGAGAGAAGGAGGAGATTGATCGCCTTCTGTATCTGAGTTCACTGTGTCCTCTCCGTCCTATATATCAGCATGTCGTATACGTTGACGTTCCCACTTATCAGACACTTAAGATGACAAGAGGATATCTGTGTTTACCTCAGTAAACTGCTGTCAACACCGTTAATCTTACCCCGGGGGAACTTATAACGACATGGAACCACATGAAATGAGATTACACGTGGTCGGATTCTGTATGTCAGTGTCAGAGTATAGGCTAAACTACCATAAATTATCCACTATCAGTTAACGATAGATATGCAAGTTTTATGTCGTGCTACATATTATTTCATTGCTTCCTCTAACTATTTTATAGTGATTCATAAACAACACATGCATAGGGGCTGGTCACTTGCAGGGTGGGAGATGGAAATTGTTGCTTATTGGTCTTAAGACTATCGTATTTTGTTTAACCTCACATGTCATTTCTTTAATGAATCACCAATTCCTAAATAATGAATATATATATAATACTATAATACATATAAGTTTAAAAGCGTAGAACTGTCATCATTCCTTGCCCCCACCCTCAGTCCCAAGTAAATATTGTTGTTATACATTTGCGCGACACCCTTTTCGCTATTTTTCATGGTCATATTTCTGACCAGTCCCTTATTATTTAATGGGAATTCGTACAATGGAATCTGGTTTGGGTACAGATTCATTATGTTTGTGGCAAAGTGTTTTATTTGTTTGTTTGATTGTTTTATTGTCATTTTTACTTCATTCAACTGATCTGTGAACGAGGTCAATACCCCTTCAAAGGATACAATGGATAATGTCTCACTCGTTCCTTATACTTCATAAATATACAGATATAATATATCGTTATAATTATAGTCCTTGGTAGATACATTAAAGTTGCCTATATATACGTTCTCCGCAAGTTCAAGGCGTTACTCACTTACTGGTTCAATATCGATGTCTTATAACGTGTGAATGGTGTTTTTCACGGAATAAAGGCATGAATGGATACTTGTTATAAACTAACAATAGCTTCTGAAGTTTCTGTCACGAATTTGTTCAGCGCTTCGTTATACCGCCAGATCAATAACCTGTCTTGTAAAGTTAAACATACACTTAAACATCCAGAATTGTTAAACCTCGTTGACATTCCAGATAGGCCATTAAAAGGATGGTGTGTTCCAATACCACCAAGCCATTACTGATATGTTTATTAATGAATGTATAAATGTAATAAAAATGTAATAATTATCAGAGGGGTAAAAACTTACCTCACAGTAATCCATTGCCTCGTTATAACGCCCGGTCCTCCTGTACGGCGTGGCGATATAAACCGCCAGCAGGCGCCTATACCTGACATGGGGTTCCCCCTCCGGCAACCCACTGACCACCTCCCATGCTTTACAACAATACGCAAGTCCAGTGTCGTAATCGGTCAACAGAGAAAACATGTGTCCCATCCTCGCACTGGTCATCAACTCCAGAAATTTGTCATTTTTAGTCCTTGCTAGGGTTAAGGCTTTGGTGTAGCTGCTCCAAGCCTTAGGGAACTCACTAAGTCCAACGTATGCATTTCCTAGACAGAGGTGAGCGTAACTCTGGGTTCGATCCGCTACCTTCTCTGTCTGCAAACAGTACCGGCAGTAGGATATCGCCTTGGTGAACTCACTTAGCTTCTCATTACATATGGCATACATGAGAAACGCCTCGGATTTAAGCTGGGGGTCGTCAGCATCGTTGGCCACTTCAATCTGGAGACCTGAATGGGTCAGTGCATCCCGATACTTCCCGAGATCACATAACGCTAGACAGATGTTTCCCAATGCTTCGAACTTATTCCGTGCCTTGGTCATCTTTTTAAGAGCGCTTGACCACTCGTCCACAGCCTCGGCGAAGCGCTGTTCGTGGTATTGTTTCATACCCTTGTCCATCTCCCTCTTGGCCAACGCCTGCCCCATCGTGCAGTACCCGTGCAACCTCGCCCACTCTGCCAAGCCTATACACCAGCATGTGGAATGCGATACGGTAACACTCACCTGGTCCGTCGACTAATGAGCTGTGGTGTATAATGTAACTCTCCGGAGTGTTGACAGACCGTCACGTGACTAGCCTTCTCGCAACTCGGTTGAACGGGACGGTGTGTAACGCATGGTGTCGTGAATCGTATCAATGGATGTCGTCACAACATCGCACAGCACCAGTCCGGGGCTGATATACCATCCATTTCGTGGATTAAGTCACACACTGGATGTGGTTCTGTGGCTGGCGAGAAGACTGTTTCCACGCGAGATCGTCATTGTCCTCGTTTGAACAAACACCGGACGAGAACACTGGGTAGTCGCGCCGAGACAACAACCTGCCTTTCCTCAAACATTGACACACACAAGCGTCGGCTTAGAGGAGATCGAACTCCGAACAAACAACCTGCGAGATACAGTTCCTGTCTAAAGGAACACGAGTAACAAGCGCTGTTGGTCCAAAGAAATGCTTCTGACCACTGACCGAGGCAGGACCACTGACCGCAGTATCCTCTCAGCCCTGCCAGGAATGTTTGTCCAGTGCTATCTGCCCGAGTGAGGCGAACCTACATTAACACAGTTCACAGTTACAAACCAGCACTTGTCTGAGGATGTGTGTGCCCACGAGTCTCTCCTCCAACAGACTCGGTCGTATCCCCTCCTCTTCCCCTCTCTCGCTCCCTCACACATCCATCCTCCCTCTCTCCATCCCTCTTGGTCCGTTATTGAGAGTGTTGGTACTGATCATCTCTGCCAGTGATCAGTAGCCCAGCTACTTCCTACTACCTAACTACGCTAGCCCACATCCCTGGGAACAGGAACCGCGAGGAGGTTGAGACGGCCAGGCTGGATTCAGCCATAGGTACTGATACAGAATCGGTCTGCTAGGCTTGCCTCAGTCGACAGTGACACAGTTAGGGGGATTATTTTCCCTCGCGACAAATCTCAAACCCAGATTCCCTTTGCACTTTCAAAGTGCACCAGTAACGCATTCTGGTTTTTATCAAGACAGTTGAAGGTTTATCGGGCACACGTGGTAGATATACTCCACCGGTTTAATACACAGCTGAGCTCCGTATTGAGGCAGTGGATGCAATAACATTACCCAGGTTTACACATACAGACTGCGTACGTGTAAAGGGACAAAGTGCGTGTGTGTACAAACCCCTTAACAATAAGCGAGTCATTTACAGAAAACGGAAACACATACACGTGCATCAATCTGTGCTTTGCATGGAATGAATGAAACATGTGCCTACGATTATATTCTGTCAGTTGGTATCTGTATGCCTATTCTCGTTTATATATATTTTTTCATATATGTGTATATGTATGAAGGTATGTACATATTTGTATACGTGGGTAGATATACATGTATACATATTTATATACATAAATGTGTATGTTGTAGATATGCACGTATGAGTTTATGCATGCATATATCTTACATATTGGAACTTAGTATATGTGCATTTGTGTATATAAAGGAATATGTACACTTGAGGTAATGTTGGTCGGTATATGGATTTGTGTATGTATATTTGTATATGTGTTGGCAGATATATGCAAAAGTGTGCATGTGTAGGTATATGCATAGATGTGTATATGTTGGTAGGTATATGCATATTTGTGTGTATGTTGGTGGGCATATTCTTGTGTGTATATGTGTAGGTATATGCATATATATGTATATCTAGGTGGGCATATGCACGAGTGTGTATGTATAGATATATGTTTGTATATATGTTGGTAGGTATATGCATCTGTGTGTCTGTCTAGGTACATGCATAGATATGTATATGTTGGTAGGTATATGCATATTTGTGTGTATGTTGGTGGGCATATGCTTGTGTGTATATGTGTAGGTATATGCATATATATGTATATCTAGGTTGGCATATGCACGAGTGTGTATGTATAGATATATGTTTGTACATATGTTGGTAGGTATATGCATATGTGTGCAAGTTTATGCATATAAATCCATAGGTAGGTATATCGAGTATATTGAGTGCTATATAGCGACATGTGTTTATATGTATGACTGATGTATGAAGGTAGGCGTGTTTTGTGCAGGTAACCATTGGCTTATACATAATTAAGCATGCATATGTGTCCTTTGGAGTATAATCTAAAAACGGTAGATAGATATTTGTGTGTTATACCCATGAATGTGCGTCTGTGTTTGTCTGTGTGTCTCTCTCTCTCTCTCTCTCTCTCTCTCTCTCTCTCTCTCTCTCTCTCTCTCTCTCTCTCTCTCTCTCTCTCTCTCTCTCTCTCTCTCTCTCTCTCTCTCTCTCTCTCTGTGTGATTAAAACATTTTCACAATTTTCAGTTTAGAAGTCTATTATTTTTGTTGTTGCTATGTAAGCATATATGAATATTGGTATGTTGAACCCATAGCTTTTACATCAAAGGACTGGTTTACAAAACCATTTGTTTATTATCAAGTACATCTTGGTACAATTACGTTGTTTAATAGCCTCTTTGCACGTCGATTCTCACATTATTACAACATTAACATGACAATATCCCGACCAAACCGCCCGCCATAGTCCAGGTATGTTTAAGTCGCGACCAGCATCCCCTTCCTTTCCCATTACACGTTGTGGTGTTATTTTCCATGGTCGATTTAGTTAACGACTTTAACCCAGCCATTCATGCGAACGTTGCCTCTTAAACACCAACAAACAGTAAACAGTTACAGACCTGTGATAATAAACCAGGAAGTAGATTGCACGTAGAAATGAAGCCTATAGTCAATGCAGCATCATCAGTATATACATCCATCGAGTGATGTAAAGGTACGGCTTTGGTGTTGCTTTGCAGCGTAGGGCAACAAACGCATACTTTTCAGGCACAATGTATACGTGCGTTGGGACTGGTACAGCAAAGCGTGATTATCCTTTTGGTGAACACCTGGTGTCATTACTGATTTTCACTGATGCTTACTTGGTTGGTTGGTTTGTTGTTTAACGCCGCACTCAGTAATGTTCCAGTTATATGGCGGCGGTCTGTAAATAATCGACTCAAGACAATTCCAGTGATCAACATCATGAGCATGGATGTACGCAATTGGGATACGATGACGTGTCAACCAAGTTAGTGAGTCTGACCACACGATCCCGTTAGTCGCCTCTTACGACAAGCATGGGCAACTGAAGATCAATTCTAACCCGGATCTTCTCGGGTACCTTATATAAGCATATATTAGTCATGGCATATAATATTCAGTAATTTACTTAATTAAAGAAACTGCACCCAAACAAAATTCAATTGAAAAACATTATAAACAAGTACAAACAGAATCAATACAAGACACACCGTCCAAGCACAGCAATGCTCTGTGCAGATAGTGATAAACGTCCGTGGCACTTTTCTGTTTTATAGAAAATCAGGAAAAGTGAAAACTAATGCCCTTTTGGCAGCCGAAACTAGTCGTGCAATCAGGGTGTATATGTTATGATGCACATGGTAGCTACCAATGCTCACGTTGTTATATTCTTTGGCTGCTCCCGTGTTGCTGTAACCTGATACAGCGCTGCCGACCTGGCTGATAGCAGACAGACCAAGATCAGGCACACCCTGGGTAACTCCATCAGTTACATTTCCGACAGAGACGTCATCAGTGAGGAATACCTTGGAGCAATTGGAGAGTCGACAGACAGAGGCCAGTCTCCCTGGGGGGCACAAGGAATTAGGGCTAATAGACCTTACAGAGCTAAAAGAGATGGGCCCGGACTGTACTTTGCTGACAGCGACGTGACTGGCAGAGGGACGACTTCACCTCACAGCGACTACATCCTCCAGCCGAACGACAAGAACTGATCCAGGCCCTCACAGAAAACTAGGGATGTTCTGTCGCAATACCGGCGCTAACTTGAGCATTAACCACACAGATATTTCTCGGCCTTTGAGAAAGTGGCCACCGATGAAGCAAAGCATATAGTTTTGATCTCTTCTTCAACTTGAGGACATGGCGTAGGGTTCATTGGTCTGATGAATTTTGCTATCTTCTGCACCTTGATGTTTGCTGTGTGTTAATCGTTACCAACTTTCAATTTCTACTTTGTGTTTGTATTAATCAGAGTAAAGTATGTTACCATTTTGATACGTGGAATTTACTTTCAAAGCTCATACAACGCCATGTAATGTTTTCGTACTTATATAAAAATGACGGTGGTGCTTGATTAATGCTCATATGTATAGAAACGGGGAAAATAATTAAAAAAATATTTAGTTCATTGTTTACACGATATTAGATCTGCATATTGTAGGTTACAGTGTAAGACCGGCGATGTTTTATAGCTTAACTAGTACTTTTCACATGCAAAACTACTGAAACATATTCTTGAAATGATATTTCACGTATTTCCCGACCCACCGACCAAGAGTGTTGACACAAACGTCCTCAACTACATTGAACAGTGACAAAAATTGTCCCTAAAGGTCAGCAAGCTGGCCTTCCGTGACATCTGCAGTACCGAATTTCCTCCAAAAGTACCACGTAGATGTGACGGTAACTTTTCATGTGATGCATTTGAGTTTGGTTGCTTCGTTCACGTACACGCATACTCTTTACCATCAGTGTGGTTGGTTTGGTTTGGTTGTTGTTTAACACCGCACTCAGCAATATTCCAGCTATATGGGGACAGTCTGTAAATAATAGTGTCTGGACCAGACAATCCAGGGATCAACAGCATGAGCATCGATCTACGCAACTGATATACGATGACATGTGTCAACCAAGTCAGCGAGCCTGATCACACGATCCCGTTAGTCGCCTCTTACGACAAGCATGGGTTACTGAAGATCAATTCTATCCCGGATCTTCATGGGTAATCATCATTGTGAAGGATGACTTGGTGAAGACATGATCTTCCGACATATAGAACTTTAAGGGTTTTCAAAAATTATCCGTAATGCTCTGGTTATTGTTTTAATAATTTATTCAACAAATTGATATCCGATAAATCGACATAAACCAACGCTTCGATTCTCTTTGATCAAACACCGAAGACAGATATAGATAGCTACTGCATAGTGATACAGAGTGAACATTTTGGTCCTTTTACGATCATGTGTAAGGGACATTAAGACTGATTTAATATATTACAGTTTACTTTCCCTGTGGGGTTAGATTGGTTAACACATCGCCCGGTTCCAGCTATAATGTATATGTATACTCATGCCAATAATGGTTGTCACCCCCTCCCACCCCAACCCCCACACACCCCTCTCAAATAAAAAAAAATGAAGGGGGTGGCAACCATTATTGGCATGAGTATATTTCTGGTGTCCCTTTCGTGATATTGATGGCGTAAAACTATAGCCGTTATCGTTTTACCACATATTTATTGCACGACAATTATCTTAAATGCTTGCTAGCAAATGTTTCTAAGCGATGGGTAACCTAGTGGTTAAGGGGTTCGCTCGTCACGTCGATGGGCCGGGTTCTATTCCTACAGTCTGTGCAGCCCATTTCTGGTGTTTCTTGTACTGAAAGTTGTTTTTCGTCGGATACTAGTTGAAGTTAACCCACTGACTAGAGACAGAGAGTATTAGAGACGGAGATCCATGGGATCATTATACACGAACGAAAGGAAAGCCGCGGTGGCTGAGCGGTCTAGGCGTCTGACTTTGTGTGCTGGCGATTAAGTGCCTGACTCTGAGGGTGTGGGTTCGAACCCCGGAATGGACTCAACCAAACAAAAGTACTAGAATCTGTACTTCACTAAGAAAGTGTAATCCCAAATATAACATATGTTAAACGAAAGGAAAGCTAATGAATCAAACTATGAGTTTGAGGTCCACTGAATGAAAATACATAGAAACGAGGAACAAAAGTATATGCTAAATGTCTCTTTGACTGTTAAGGCAACAATAAGGAATAAATTGATACAGATTAATAAACTCACCAACCAAGCTTAGGTACTACTGTAGGAGAACAGAGTCCCT